GACCGATTTTGTCTTGCTTGCACTGCTTGCGTGTCTGCCTGCTTTGCCTGCTGCTTGCCTGCCTCTGCACGTGCCTGCTTGCGCTTCCAGAACGGTCGAGGTCCCTCCAGGAGACGACGGCCGACCAAACGGTGAGTCGCATGTTTCGCTTTCTTACGTTTATCGCTATATTCGCGTTGAGGAGATGATACACATCTCCTCTGGTCCTTCGAGAAAGTAAAAAACCAACTCGCAAGTCGGGGCCTTACACCCCCCCCCCCCGAGACAATAGTATTTCCTGAAACTTAATTTGCTCGTAATTAGAGATTTATCCTATTTTTTTAATAAAAATTAAATAACATGTAACAGTAGTTAATCTATGGGCATTCCACCCCGGGGGCTCCGAGTGGGGGGGAGGGAGAGAGGGTATTGGATTTTGCAAGGGGTGAAGGGAAGGGGGAGGGGGCGAGGTATCGGGTTACACAGGGGTATCGAATTTCCCACGCGGTGCAGGTTCTCACCGGGCATGGCTGCTTTGGTGTGTACCTGCACCGCATAGAGAAAGAGGCCACGACAAAATGTCACCACTGCGACGAGGAGAGGGACACGGCGCAGCACACGCTGGCGCATTGTCCAGCGTGGGCAGAACAGCGCCGTGTCCTACAGAGGGAGGTAGGCCGAGACCTCTCCCTCCCGGCCATAGTGGCGGTTATGGTCGGGGACCAGGAAAAATGGAGGGCCTTTACCAGCTATTGCGGCTCGGTGATGGCCTGCAAGGAAGAGGCCGAGAAGATCCGTCGCGGGAAGGTAGACCCTCCGGCGGACCTCTCGGATCAAGATTAATCGCGGGGCAATTATTTGCCCCGCGGCACCCCGGGTGAGTAACATCCGGGGTGCATGTAGCCGCGATAAAATGCAGCATGAGTTGTGCAGCAACTCCGGGTCTTTACTTCTGACGGGAGGGAGCCCGGAGTTCAGGAGGTCCGGCGTCCCGGCGGGGTGACGGGGCGTCGGATGCACTCCCAATAGCTATAGGAGTAGCAAGGTGGGGTGGTGTCACACCGAGTGTCACACCTTGCCACACATCGGATAAAGGTTCGGTCACAAGACCGTGGGCCAAAAGGCCCAAGAGTACGCGGGCCCAATCAGGGTCAGGCGCCGGAGGCGTCCCGGATGCAGTGATAATCAGTTCCCGGGGCGTCTCCAAAGCGCATGGATGAACACCCATGGGGTTTTGGTGGGTAAAAATCCTACACTCCCCCGTTCCTCCCCCTGGAGGGCGGGGGGTCTTTCCCCTCAGACACCAGAGAGGGCTGCCGGGCCACATACCTGGCCTGCTAGTCAGGTCAGGGAACCTGGCAGTAGAAGATTTCCCCATGTAAAAAAAAAAGTATCGGATTTCGCGGAGAGGTAAGGGGAAGGGGAAGGGAAAAGGGTATCGGGTTACACAAGGGTATTGGGTTACACAAAAATATCGGATTTTGCGGGGAAGGAGAGGAAAAGGGGTTGACCTTGACATACCACCGGGATGACTCACTCGCGCCGCGGGGTCCGCGGGAGGGGAAGTCCGTGTTTGCGGTCGCGGTCGCGCCGCGGGGGCCGCGTGGGGGGTCCGTGGGGGTCCGCGGGGGCCGCGCGGGGGGTCCGTGGGAGTCCGCGGGAGCCGCGCGGGGGTTCCGCATTCGCGGTCGCGGTCGCGCCGCGGGGGTCACGTTCGCAACGACGCCGCTATGCGGCGCACAATAGGTAAGACTAACCCGATAACGCACTGCGTAAGAGCGTGTTTTGTCGATGACGCATCGAACCTGTCGGGACACGTTCGTCGTTAACAAATGTTTTTTAAGAAATGGGGGTGTTATTGCGTAGACAAAACAATTTCACGCTATTTTTTTACGACGCAGTACGTAAAACAAAGGAAAAAATGATCTTTCAAGATTTAATTGGAGCGAGAGAGAGGGCAAGGGTATATAACAAGGAATGAAGCGCATCGAGCTGCAGTAGTAAGATTTGAGAGCGATACATCGGTTGAAAAGTATCGAGATTTATTGTGTGATTAAACACGTTATCACGTGCAAGTGCTGTGAAGCGATATAATAAAAGAATTTGTGCAAAAGTGATCAAACATGGAGCAATTCGAGCAAACCGAACGCGATCTATTGGAGCTGTCCGACCAAGTAGCTACCGTGGGTGAATTTTTCACATGGGCGCTGCAATGCGCGGAATTCGTCGAGCAGCTCGAGGCACGCAGTAGTGCCAAACGTCAGCGGCTCTCCAACAATCCAACGATCGGGCAGAGGCCGATCGTTGGTTGCCAGAATAACGCTACTCGAGGGTGTGAAGTCGCGATTAAAAAGACAATTTATCCATAGCGGTGGTGATTATGCGAACAGTGGCGACACGTGCGCGGCAGAACTTGTATAGCGAGAAATCGATGCCGCGTTCAAAACGCGAATAATAATCGGTGCGGTAATTAATACAGACCATATAGAACCGCGACAGTTTTTGGAAGACGCCTGCAGCGTAGTGTGCAAGCGAGTGCGAGACATTATAAAAATACATAACTGTGTCAAAGTGAACACCGCGTTCAACGAGGAGTTTGTGGCGGGTGATAAACGTGCCAATAAGAGTATATGTACAAATAACATAGAACTCTGTCGTACATCGCACTTGCGCGAGTGGTACGAGCGACACATTATCGAGCCCACATTAACGAAACTCGAGGAATTCCAGGAACGCGACAGTGGGTGGGCGTTGACGCGAATCCTTAATTTGACGGTGAACGTCAACAGTTACAATCCTTTGCGCGCGGGGTGTCACTTGAAATTGCCTAAAGACATTAAAGTAAAGAACGCCGTGATCAATATGCTGTTTATGGACAATGCGTGTTTTGCATGGGCCGTGACGGCTGCTCTGCATTTAGCCGAAAGACATTCAGAATGGGAATCATCATACCCGCATTATTCAACGGTACTGAATTTACGAGACATTGAGTTCCCAATGACGTTGAGTCAAATTAAACAGTTCAAAAGACTCAACAATATATCCGTCAACGTCTATACCATCGAGGGACAGAAAACTTCAAACGTTCTTCCAATACGGCTTACCGACCACACGAGTGATAAAAAACACGTGAAACTGATGTACGTGCCAGATCCGCGAGACAACAGTGTTGGACATTTCGCGTGGATTAAGAATCTATCTCGTCTCGTGAGCTCGCAATTGAGCACGCACCATAGTTGGAAATACATTTGCGATCGGTAAGTACCTATACTTCTTTTAATAATATATATCATTTTATATTTTTTTGTATAAAATGTATAATGTATAATGTATAATGTATAATGTATAATGTATAATGTATAATGTATAATGTATAATGTATAATGTATAATGTATAATGTATAATGTATAATGTATAATGTATAATGTATAATGTATAATGTATAATGTATAATGTATAATGTATAATGTATAATGTATAATGTATAATGTATAATGTATAATGTATAATGTATAATGTATAATGTATAATGTATAATGTATAATGTATAATGTATAATGT